CCACGCCCTTGACGCCATAATGGGCTTGACCAGAGATGCCACCTTTCGTAAAGATTAACCAAGCCTCCGCTTCTCGGGCCTGTGCTTGTCATGTTGGTACTCGGAAATGAGAGCGTTAACCTCCCTCATTCTCACCGCACTCTTTGAATAGTATGCAATCTTTGAGTAGGTCCTAATCGCCCAATATAAATGTACGTCGGACCCGTGTCACTCTCCTCCAGAAAATGAGATTGTGTAAGCGGGTTCACTAATTAGTAGTTGAGTGCGGCTGTCCAACAAGTAGAGCACCCCAGCATAACCTATTTCCCAGTCAATCTCTCGCCGTGAAGGACATCGGGTTTGAATCGTTTGATATCATGATGCTTGTGCTGCACCTAGGCAGCGCCGCGGCGCTGCTTTTGGCGGAACTTTGTTATTCCGAGCCACCGCCAAGCTTTAAAATGACTAAGCATTTTATGCAAAGACGGTGTGGAGTGGCAAATAACATCATCAAGCTGCTTTTCTCCGCCCACGAATGAATGCAATGCGGAATCCCTAACCAGCTGTGTATTTCTGGCTTTCTTTTTCATAGCACCCTATCAGCATGACAAGCGATGATGAGTTCTTTTTCGACTATGTAAGCTTCCCCGAGACACGGGCCCCCGCTTCCACAAGTGGAGACAAACCGCTCACGCATTCAGAAGTTGTCCTGGATTCCGAACGATGTAAAACGATACTCTACGCAACTTGCAGATTACATCGACCGTCATATTGACCATGCAGCCTCGAACGTGCGAGATGCGCTATCCCGGCAGTTCTGGCTTCCGACATATCTAAGACCTCCCTCGAGGTCCAGTCAAAGAATTCCATATTCATCGCCTCCAGAGACCCCGACCAATTGTATATATGACTGGGCATTAGATCACCGCGCATGGACGGCTGCATTATTGGCATTTATCGGGACTGGAGGTCTCTTAATTTACGGCGCGAGAAAATTCAAAATCAAAAAGCGGAAAGCGAGGAAGGCCAGTAACGGCGCCCGGAAAGAAATAGTTGGTATGGTTGTCGTCAGGCTCAATCATTTCCGATTGTATAATATCTGGTGCGCTAATAATAGCATAGTTATTTCGGGCTCGGCGCACGATGCCATTACGAGGTCCATTGCTTGTGACCTCGAACGAAGAGGCTTTATAGTCTTCATCACCGTCACATCCTCCGAAGAAGAACATGTTGTGGAAAATGAGGCCCGAGAAGATATACGGTCTCTCTGGCTGGATCTAGCTAATGTAGGCTCCCTCTATTTGCTTAAGCTGGTTCAAACAATCTAATGTGATAGCAGACTCCGGCAGAACCATCTGAAATACATCCTTCTCTTTACGTTATTCAGTCCTTAATCACCAACCCGCAAGCGCCTATGCCCGGTGTTCCTCCGCATACTTGTCAATTGACTGGGCTCATCGTAGTCCCTTCATTGAAATATCCCACTGGTCCTGTTGCCACTATCCCAGCATCGAGCTGGGCAGACACCATCAACACTCGCCTATTGTACCCAATACTTACAGCGCAATTATTCCTCCCTCTTCTTACTATCAAACACAATACTAGTTCCATAGTACTTGTAACCCCTTCTATTCAATCCTCTCTCTCATCTCCTTTCGCAAGCCCCGAGGTTGCTGTAACAAGAGCCCTGTCCGGTTTCGCCGCTAGTCTGCGGCAAGAATTGCACCTTCTAGAGAATGGCCACAACGCTATTGATGTTATTGAACTCAAGCTCGGAAATTTGGATTTTGGCCGTCAATTCCGCAATACCAGCGGGCAAAACAAAGGCACTGAAGTTCTTACTTGGCAGCCACACCAACGTGCACTTTACGGTTCACCGTACCTATCAAGTATCGACTATCGCCTGGGAAGGCCAGCAGGGACCGGGAGCTCGCATAGAACGCCGGCTAAAGAGTTACATTTTGCCGTTTTTGATGCTCTGGCACCACGTCAAAGGAATATTTTTGGGCAGCGAAAGAGGAAGCAAGAGGTAGTCTATGTCGGCCGGGGATCCAGAGCATACGCAATGGCTGGGAGCATTATGCCCAATGTTCTAATCGGCTGGATGCTTGGCCTACGTACAGGATATTCAGCTTTCTCTTCTGATGCGGGTTTTGATGATGGCAACGGTTACTGGAGCGAGCCGGCGTGGGAAAAGGTCTCCTAGCGTTCAGGTCATTGAGTGGTCGTTTGGGCTGTGGTACATATTCTAACTATTCTCCACTCCCTTTCGAATCTATGTACGGAGTGTTTTGTCGTCTCTCAGGGAGTGGCCTTGCATTCTCAGTTTTGGCGTTCGGGTGATGGGCTGTGTGAGTATCGGGTGCGCGAGATTAAACGGGTCAGGCCTCAAAGAGATAATACGAAGCGGTAGGAAAATGTGAGCTACATGAATCTGAGCTCCTTTGCCCGGCTATCTAGCTAAGCAGTACTACTATCAATGGGAGTTGATGCGGTATAAATCAGCTGTTTACAGAATGCAGTCCACAATGCAGGATTGCGCATGCTAAAAAGAATTGAAGGTTTGAAACTAATAAGAGTGGTCAAGTAGAATACAGCAAAAAAACTATAAACTTTTATCAAACCATTGTCTCGAACAGTGAAACCGGGTTTCCTCCCAGATCCAGATGAGGCATGGCAAAAACGTACTTGGACATGCCTTTTATGATGCACCATCAGGGGAACCTAGAGTTTGCAAAAGTTTTCCAGCTTAACCCTTTGAGAAATCAATCCGTGCTTCTCCTACAACCTTACCATCCACAACCGATTTCAATATCAGGACGCCTTCCTTGGCCCCAAAGCGCATTACAACCGTGGAACTTAGCCAGTAGACAACAATTCCCGCATGGTTGATTTTAGAGTGTACCAAAGCCGGATCGACTTGCGAAATATCCGCAACGATGCGGCCTACAAAGACGACTCCTATATGCGTATTCGTAAGAATGATTCTCATGGTGGGAGTTGCAAAAGTTGAACTGACTGGGGTGAGTAATATGGTCTGGCACATCATCAAGACTACAAGAATAGAGCTGGAGAGTAATTGCGGTTGGTCGATTTCTGCCGGAATACTTCGCCGCCAAGTGTCTAGAAGTGGTGTGTTTCAACTTTTCCCCCTATAAAATATTAGGACATCTCTTAAGGAATCGTGATGGGTTGAGAACCTTGTGGATCATCCACTTCACCCTATTTCTCGTATACTTTATTCCATCTAAGTCACAAACAAATGCGTTCTCCTCAGAGTCAATTCCTTCTCTAAACGGCAAACAAAACGCGATTCCGTAGTGGCGGCGGCATCGTCTTGTTTTCGGGCGAACACCCTCTAATCCTCTTAAAACCGCACCCTTCACAATTGCGGCCTGGCTGTTCCGCGATACTCCCTTTAGACACCAATACACCTGCAAAATAAGGATGGGGAAATCACTCACGGATACTGGGGAACTATGACTTGAATGTTCTGACCAAACTCTCCTTTTAGCACTACCCGCAAATATTCTGAATCACCAAAGCCTCCAACAAGTATGATTTTCTGAGGCTTGGGTTAGTGCTTGCTTCGAAGTCAAGGTAGAAAATTACCTTGATAACGGATTTTCCAGCATGATGGTTAGCGGCTAGAATCTGTTGCTTAACCAAGGCCTTAATCTTCTCAACAACTGGGTCGAACAATGCGCAGAGATCGTGCCTACAAGGATGTAAGCTTCAAGATTTTGATTAAGGTAGTCTTTCTCACTTTGAAATCTTGACTAGACGTTCATCATCATCAAAATATCTCGGGTCTGGTTCGGCGAGCGACATATCAAGCGGCAACTCATAAACCTCTTCTCTGTAGTCCGAAGAGGCAAGATCCTCTTTAATCTGCTCAAAAGCCCTCATAAAATCACTACCAGGGCCTCTTCTTTTCAAAGGAAGATTTTTGAAGGCATCCCCAAATCGTTCTGACATGAGTTTGTAAAACTCACGGTCAATCGTAGTTGACCCCACACTTCGCTCCTGAAAGACTTAGTATCCTGACAATGTCAAAAGGGTATGAGCATACCAGTTCCTACGCACAACTCTTCGAATACAAGGCTTGGACAAACATTGGTAATTAGGTACGTAGTGATGTCCTGGATGGTAAGCAAGAATCCAACGGGTATAGTTGAGTAGTACTAACGACAGTTCCTCCTCCACAGTCACACACCAAAATTCCTTCGCCCTTCTCCGTGGATAGTTAGCACTTGAAATACATATGATAACCATAGAAAGCTGACAAACCTCTGTAGGACAAACTAATGAGCCGTCGGAAGTACTTCGCTTCAAGGCGGCGATAGCGGCCGCCTCTGGCTCGGCTATCATGAATAATTGATCACCAGGACGGGACGCAAAACCAGCACGCTTTGCAGCTTCCCTAATTGCATCCTGCGCTTCATCCGACCATATGGCGGGCATAGTAAACCAAAACTCCAGTGGAGTAATGGACAGAGTTTCTTCCGAGATTTGCTTTTCCAAGATTCCCATTGTGTGTTTGTAAATAGTTGTTAAAAAGTCTGCGACCACATCGGTTGCACTCTTGCCCGCAGGCAGTCGCAAAATCGGCATTCCAGCTGCTTCTTGTATAGTAAGTGTTTCGTCATCATATTCGGCTCGTGATGCGTTGTTGTCTAGGAGTAGCTTGGTCCATGAGTAAGATGTCATGCCAGATTCCACTTGAAATCCCCATTTCACGTCTTGAATTCTGTAGTTTTCACTGGGATACGCTAGACGCGATGGAACTTTGAAAACGGTCTCCGAATGTCGGCCGGTCCCCGGCCAGCTTGTGATAACAACTATGTCATCAATGTGGTTTTTCGCAGTCGTGACAAATCCCACCCCTTTGAGAATAGTATCAGCGAATATCCAATTTATATCATTTTATTGTAGACTGAGACTAGTTTACCTGTGTAGGTCGTTCCATAATCCACCCCAACAATGATTTTATGAACGTCACAATGGTTTTGTACGGCACCAAGAGCGCCTGAAGGTCCTGGCTTCCAGTGCTTGCGGGGCATCTCGCTATCAAGGTTATCTTTGAGAGGTTCGAAGAATGATGGGCGGGAAAAGCAACGCGATGGAAGATGCAAGTTGACTAAAAAAATAAAATAAGCGAGAGTGGAAAAATGAAAATTTGATGATACGGGAAGTACCATCTCCACCGGGTTTCTTTGCAGATATGGACTGCAAAGTCTTCGAAACTTGCCGCGTTAGGTGGACTTGGAAAGAAAAAAAAAGCGAATCAGTCAATTCGAAAGTTATCCCGAACTTCTTCTTAGTTGTGCACTGGTATTACAACCGACCTTGAGCCAGGAGATGAGTTTCCCGTTGTCGTTTAGACGGGTGATCGGTGCTGTATGGGA